TGATGAAGAAATGATGGCACAAGTGAAAGATATCGTGTCTTCTGTCTCCAAATGTCTATCATATTCCACAGCATCACATCTTCAAGAAATAAAGCAAAGTTTGTTTAAACTCTGCAAAGCTGTAGAAAATACCATGAAATATAAACCTCGAGTGACTCAGATGGTGAGCTGGTGCATTCTGGTTCTTTCTAAATCAAGTCGGCTGGTTCAGGTTGGAACAGGAGAAGGAAAGTCATGTATCGTGGCAATGTTTGCAGCATATCAGGCCATGATGGGAAACACCCCTGATATCATCTCCAGTTCTCCTGTACTTGCTGAAAGAGATGCTAAAGAGTGGTCTGCATTTTATAAGGAACTGAATATCACTGTTGATGCCAACATCGACAAATCAGAAACCGAGCTGAAGAAGTGCTATGAATGTCAGGTAGTTTATGGTACGGCTGTCAGTTTTGCAGCTGATTGGCTGAGACAGTGCTTCCACAGAAGAGATGTGAGACCTAACAGAGAATTTCAGTGTGTTATAGTGGATGAGGTTGACTCATTAATGCTAGACAAAGGTCTTGAAGTGGTTTATTTGAGCACTGAGATTCCGCTAATGGAATCTCTCAATGCAATATTGGCAGAAATTTGGTTAATCGTCAACCAGCTGAAGCGTTTAGACACTGGAGAGATTTTAGGCCCCTTTCAGCTCCTCTCTCAGCTTCTGTCTGAAATCATTACTGAAAATAAAAACATTGATCAACACAGTATTGTGCAGATGGCCGTTGACACAGGAATTAAGCCTATGAAATCCTCAAAGCCAATGCAAGAAAACATGAAAAATGTTCTACAACAACTAGATAATGCAAGTGTTGACCAAAAAGTATCATTCCTAAACATGCTTTTGAGAAATTTACCTGATTATTTCTTCAAATTATACCAGGAAACGCCTGATGGGACTTTAAGGATACTGAATGAAATCAGTCCTGCAGATACAAATAAGAGACAAGAAATATCTGTTCTTCTACTGGGGAATGGAAAATGTCGTGTTGTGCACTTTGAGGAGGACTCAATGGATCCATCATTAAGGAAAAAGATTCAAAAGTCATATCGGTCTGAATCAGCAAAAGAACAAAATGAATCTCGTATCCCAGGCCTAGAAGATATCATCAGTGGCAAGATGCAAACTTGGTTTGGAAATGCTTTGCTAGCCACAAAATTAACTCTAGGCCACGAGTATGTCCTTCATGGAGATGGAGTTGCTCCTGTTGATTACAAATGCACTGGTGTCGTGCAGAATGAAATGCGATGGGGGGAAGGACTTCAGCAGTTTCTGGAGATGAAACACCAAACTAAACTGTCTAACATGACTCTAATCACAAACTTCATGTCTAATGTCGGTTTATTCAAGAAATACAAAAACAAGATCTATGGGCTCACAGGCACTTTGGGGGACCAAACAGAGCTTGACATGGTGAAGAAACTCTACAATGGCATTGACACCTGTAAGATTCCCTCATTTAGACGAAGGAAACTTTATGAGTTGGAGGGTTTGGTGATACCAGAAGAAGATGAGTGGATCAGGACCATATGTAATGCTGTTAAACATCAAGTGACCTCCACAGTTTATCGAGGTCCACGAGCAGCTCTCGTCATCTGTGAAACCATCAATCATGCAGAAATATTTCACCATTTCAAAAGACAAACTAAAACTTTATGTGAATAACAACATGGATAACTCTAAGATAATATATAATAAAGTTCAAGCAGGGGACGTCATCATTGCAACTAATCTAGCAGGTCGAGGTACAGACCTAAAGGTCATTGAAAGTGTAAATGAGGCTGGAGGTCTATTTGTGGTGCAGACCTTCTTACCTCTGAACGTCCGTGTTGAACAGCAAGCGTTTGGACGAACGGCTCGTCAAGGGAGTCCAGGATCTGCTCAAATCATCATGTGTGCCAGTCATCTCTCTGAC